ACTATGGGCTCAGCAAGAGCGAGGACTCCCCAGGAGAAGAGGAGCCCTGTGTAGCCAGCTCTGAGTCAGCAGAAGCTGACAAGCAGGAAGGTGAGCTGCAGGCTTGTCAGAATTCACAGCCAGCAGCTGGTGCAGAGCCATCCTCCGGCTCTGATTCAACAGGTGAAACTCAGTTGATCATTTCCAACCCTCCAGTATCACCCACACCCTTAGAGCGCCACAGACGGAGGCTACAAGCAGAACTACAGGAGAGACAACGAAGTGCACGCCTCCTGCCCGATGTCAGCTGTTTGAATGGTTGCAGGATTACTCCCGAGCAGCTGGCTTTAAGCATGACCCTTAAGCATAGGGCTATAAAAACCAGCCAAGGAAGGTTGTTTGGTGTGGAAGCAACAAGGAATCCCTCTGACTCTGCGACCACTGCATCAGATCCTGCCTCAGTCTTGTGGCTCTTTGGACTATTTCCTGACTCTGCTTTCATCTTGCTCTTGAACCAGCTTGTGAGTAACTCTTGGATTCTCAGACTCTGCTGTATGAACTGACCCTTGGACTAGACTCCTGACTCTGTGCATAACCTTGGACTGGACCTTGACTACGCTTCTCAGATTGGTGCTCTTGCCTTGCTTGCTCTGTGCCTTGACAGCATGCCCTATGCCATTCCTGGCCCAGCTCATAATTATGTTTTACAGTTCTTCCTGCACTGGCTGTTTTTAGAAATGTTTTTATTTATTTACTTCATTTATACCCCAACTTTCTCCGGGATGGAGCCCTAAAGCAGCTGACATTGTTCCCCTCTGTTTTCCCCTCACAACAACCCTGTGAGGTATGTTAGGCAGCACATGTGTGACCGGCCCACAGTCCCCCAGAATGGGGATTTAACTTGGGTCCCCCAGATGCTTGTCATTCTAACCACTGCACCGTGCCGGCTTTTGCCTGGTTGCTGTTCCTTTGAAATTGTTGCAATTTCTGTTGACCCAATTGAATTATTTTTGTGATTATTATGTCTCAATTGCCATTGTGGTTGTTTTAATGATCAGCCCTCTTGGAAGCAAATTATGGGATGTGTCCGTGTTTCCAACCAGCCCATTCATTGAAACCCAAGGCATAGGGACATGAACAACTTCAAATTTATTAACTTATAAAAGTGATAGAATGTGTTATATAAATAATGGTTATAAGTATGTGTCTTGGGAGGAATGGGCCCCCCACTCCCCACCTAAAAAAAAGCCAACCCAAGGTACTGTGTATTTTTGTTAATCTTGAACAACCTGACTACATGTTTTTTTTCTTGTTCTTACAAAGTTACCATACAAATAAATACACCATTGGCATCCAACTCGTCTTGTCGCAAAGACAAAAGGCTGTTCATCTTTCTGTCAAGCTAAAAATATTATTCAAACAATGTACATGTCCCAACCATTTCCCCCTGCCTTCCTAGGGTTGCCAAGCTCCAGGTGGTGGCTGGAGATACCCAGGGATTGCAACCCATCTCCAGGTGAGAGAGATCAGTTCCCCTGGAGAAAATGGCAGCTTTGGAAGGTGGAGTCTGTGGCACCATATCCTTCTGAAGTCCCTCCCCCCAAACCCCACCTTCCTCAGCCCCCCCCCAAATATCCAGGTATCTCCCGACCCAGACTGGCAGCCCTATTTCCCCATCATCTGGTTCGCTGAAGAGCACCCTTTAACAAACAGGTGTCCAACAGAGGGCCCAAGCCACTGCCACGTACCGTGGTCAGACCCTTGAAATGGGTCCCCATGGTGGTTGTCTTCATTGGTTGGAGAGGTTGTCCAAGCCGTCTGACGGCAAGGGTGGTGTTACGCAGGGCTCTTTTTGTAGCAGGAGCTCCTTTGCCTATTAGGCCACACCCCCCTAATGTAGCCAATCCTCCAAGAGCTTACAGAGCTCTTCTTACTGGGGCTACTGTAAGCTCTTGGAGGATTGGCTACATCGGGGTGTGTGGCCTAATATGCAAAGGAGCTCCTGCTACAAAAACAGCCCTGTTCACTTTTCTGAAAAGCCATTAATCTGCTTGGTAAGATGCTGCATGGAGGAAATGTGGCTGATAGAGGCAGCCGCCAGGACTAAATTCAGAAGGCTTTTGCATCTGTTTGGAGAAGAGTTTAGTGACGGGCTCACTCCCCATACAAACACTGCAACAACTTTGATTGGTGTTATATTGTGTTTTATATCTTGAAGAAAGAGCGCTATCTAACATGCAGCTGCGTGGAATGATTGTGAACAGTTCTCTTTAAGTAAAGTTAGTTTCAAGGTTTTAGTAGACAGCAAAGAAACCCCACAAGGCTTTTTGCATCAGAGAAGAGGCTCAGGAATGGCTTTCTCCCACGATAAGCATTTAGGTGGTTATTAAAAGGTCAGTTCTTAATAGGGTTACCAAGTACCTACCTACCAATCGGCGGGGGACACATGCTTCCCCGCCGGAACAGTCTTGTGTGTAACACGGCCGCGTTGCACTATCCTGTTGCCCAGACATGACGTAAGCACGCTGGGCACGTAGCCGGGCGCCGCTCTGGCAATGGGGCTGGAAACTTGATGGTACCATCGAGTTTTCAGCCCCGTTGCCAGAGCGTCGCCCGGCTACGTGCCCACGTCATGTCTGGGCGACAGGATAGTGCAGCGCCTGTGTTTTCCCCGTGGGAATGTTCCCGCCAAGAACTATACGTCCTCCGCCGATACACGGTAAGTGCTTGGTAGCCCTAGTTCTTAACCATATTCAATGATATTGGGAATTATTTAATTCCATTCAGCTCCGTGTTCTGTCTCGTTTTAGTGGCCACGATTTATTCCAGGATGATAACCCTGGAGAAAATACTCCTGAGGCTCGTAGGGAGCATTTTACTGGCCCAGTTCAGAAGGCTTTTGCATCTGTTTAGAGGGGGGTTTAATGACTGGCACACTGAGTTGCAACAAGAGGCTGCTCACCTTGAAGGAAATAAGGATACTCCTGAGGAAGGATTTGACAAAACGAGCCCATATCCGGGTGCTCGTAGTACTTCTTTATAATGTGATATAAGAGTTATACGTTGAATGCAAAATGTTTTACTAAATGTGTTAGCCGGAATATCACAGTGTTAGATCTTGGAAGCTAAGCAGGGTTGGTACTTGGATAGGAGACCACCAAGAAAGGCTGCGCAGAGGAAGGCCATGGCAAACCACCTCTGCTTCTCACTTGCCTTGAAGGCCCTTTGCTGGGGTTGCCATAAATTGGCTGCGACTTGACGGCCCTTATGCCTGTATTAAACTGTGAAATGCCTTCTTTCCTAGGGAGTAAACTACATCATGGGAGGCAAGGCGGCACGGTACAACCTGATATCAGATCTCAGAAGGTAAGCAGGGTCAGTACTTGGATGGGAGGCCACCAAGGAAGGCTCTGCAGAGGAAGGCGATGGCTAGCCACCTCTGCTTCTCACTTGCCTTGAAAGCCCCTTGCTGGGGTGGCCAGATGTTGGTTGCGACTTGACGGCACCAATGTGGGTAAGCCGACTTCATTGAGTAGTCCAATGGCTGCCAAGTGGGCCAACGTCGCCAACTTCACAGTGGAAGCTGCTGACTGACAGGCATGCCGGAAGGGACCGCAAGAGTGCAGCTTTGGGCTCGCTGTCCTGGGCCGGCCTTTCACGCTTCACTCCTGAGACATGCCAGAGGCACACAAAGAGAAAACCCCCTTTCAAAATGAAGTTTCTCCCCCTCACCCCAGGACTAGAAAAAATAGAGTACTTTCTTCTTCATGCTGCTCTGTACTTTCAGCTATCCAACAGTTAGGGGGCTAACAGCACATTATATGTTCAGTGGTGTAACGGTACCCCAATGACATCGTTTTAAAGAAACAAAGCAGGTTTTGGCAGAGGAGAAGGGAGGGCAGAAAAACACGGGGGTGGTGGTGGTGGAAGAGAGTACTTAAGCCCAAATTCCCCACCCAGCCATCGCCCCACGCAAAGGTAAGGTTCTCTTGCTCGAAAGCCAGTCAAATTCAAAATAACTCCCTTCAGCTACATCTTACTCGTAGGGTTTCAGACGCGTGCTTGTGGGGCATAGAAGCCCCTCTAGGCAAAGGTAAAGGTTCTCTTGCTCGAAAGCCAGGCAAATCCGACTCTAGGGTTGCGGTGCTCATCTCTGTTCCAAAGCCGAAGAGCCAGCGCTGTCCAAAGACGTTTCCGTGGTCATGTGGCCGGCATGACTAAACACCAAGGCGCACGGAACGCTGATACCTTCCCACCGAAGTGGTACCTATTTAACTACTTGCAATTTCTTGCTTTCGAACTGCTAGGTTGGCAGAAGCTGGAACTAGAGATGGGAGCTCACTCCGTCATGCGGCACACTTGGGTCTCGAATGGCTGAACTACCGATCTTCCACAGCCTGCAGTTCAGCGTCTTAACCACTTGAGCCACCGCAGCTCCGCAGAAGCCCCTCTACCCACTACCAATTCTCCCCTCTAACGCTCCCGTTCCAAAGCTCTGCTCTTGAAAGAAACCCCCCCCCCCAAGCATCAGTGTGGTCTTAAATGAATCAGCACTTCATGTGTCATTAGCCCTGACTTTAAAAGCAGAATGTGCCTGTTACTTTGCAGTCTAGCTTTACGTTTTCGGGCTCACAAACACCAATTGCTTTGTGTTTTCCTTTCCAGCTGGAAAACCAACGTGAGATCTCCGGGCTATACGAGACATGGTCCACCTCGCCTCCTGCACATTGATTAATCTTTCTCTGGACCGTCCAGCTTGCCACAAATTATCCATGTTCAACCCTGCAAAGCAAGGCTCCTCTAGTAGAAAATAAACCCTCCCCTCCGTTCCTGCCAGTGATTCAGAGCCTCCTCGTCTTTTGCAGAAGCATCGTCAGGGCTGGCACAGGTCTAGGCGTAAAGCAGCAAGTTGCACTGGGCATGAGATGAATATTGACGCGCACAATGAGTTTGGTTTTCAGGGCACTGGCGGCACACGTAAGACATGCCTGTGGTCCAGCTGCAGATCCCAGCCTTTGCCAGGTTCCTTCGGGTCCCCCGCTCCGATGCGCTCTTAGCAGTGGTCCTTTTCAGACTTCTCGAGATACAAAACTTTGACCAAATCCTCCAGTTCAGTCCTGCACACTCTGCTTCTGCACATGTGGCTGATCTGGGCTTCTCCCTCGCTGAATATTTTCCACTGACCTAAAAACAAACAAACACACACTACAGTTTCAAGAGAAAGGTCAGCGCAGGGATGCCGCGGTGCAGGAACGGCTGCCGCTTGCAAGCAGTGTTCCCTCTCAGCTGAGTTAGTGTGAGCTAGCTCACAGTTTTCCAGCCTCCGGCTCACACATTTTTGCCTTAGCTCAGGAAGGAGGGCTCCAGAGCAAACTAATGTATGCAGCAGCCAAATCGCTGGCTCACAGCTTTAATGCCGGTAGCTCACAAAGGAGAATTTCTGCTCAGAAGACTCCACAGCTTAGAGGGAGCCTTGCTTGCAAGCCCTGCAGGATTCCAAAAGGTTTGGGGAGAAGGTTCCAGACCTTCCTATCTCTCCCCCGTGAGATCCGTGAGGCCTTTTTTTGTTCTTTTGAGCACATCAGTTGATGACCTGGACCATCAAGCCATGCCTCGCATGTGTAAAGGGGTGAGGATGCCAGCCTCCAGGTGGGGCTCGTAAGTAGCTGATTCTATTGGACTGATTGATGGGTAAACAGAAAGTAGGCAGCTGTAACTTAGGGACCTCAGCGTACGAGTAGGCTAGGTACCCACTTACGACTACATTACAGAATGGAGGTGTTAACGGAACGGAAAATTCTTATATGTACAGTTGACTCTTCTCTTACCCTGAATTACAGCTCGTCTCCAGACTCCAGAGATCAGTTCCCCTGGAGAAAATGGATGCTCTGGAGGGTGGACTGGATGGCCTTGTACCCCACTGAGGTCCCTGGCCTCCCCAGGCTCCACCCCCAAATCTCCAGGAGTTTCCCAACCTGGAGCTGGCAACCCTACGGCCCCTCTCCGTCCTTCACCAGTGGCCAGGGAGGACCAGCAACCTTTGTGAATGGACCACCACACAAATAGCTCAACTGAAGGCCTAACACTTTCGTAGCAACTAAAATCGCCTCCGGCACAACGGCCCAATTCAGAGATCCTAAGAAACCAGGGTTTCTTTGAGCTAAAGGTGGCATGTAAAAGCAGGAGTTGGCTTGTAGATGACAATTCAAATCTCAGGTTTCCTCGACAAAGGCTCTTTCTCTGCAGGGACCCAGCTGGTGCCCTGTGGCAAGGGCAACATGATGGAACCAGCCAAAGCCGGCACGTCTGTGTTCCCATGCCATGCAAAAGCATGGCAAGTAGAACTCCCAGCATTTGTGTCTAAAAATCAGGGATGCAGAAGTTTGGTTCTCATGAGAACCTGGCACGATTGAAGAGGAGGGGGCTAAGACCCCCCCACACACATTATTTTCCTGAACTGAAATGGCCCCAGAATAGGGTTGCCAACTCCAGGTTTGGAAATACCTTTAGATTTGAGGGTGGATCCTGACAGGGGGGTTTAGGGAGGGGAGGGACCTTGGTAGGGCATACTGCCATGAAGTCCACCTAGAATCACAGAACCATAGAGTTGGAAGGGACCTCCAGGGTCATCTAGTCCAACCCTCTGCCCAATGCAGGAGAGTCACAAATACCTCCCCCTCCACACCCCCAGTGACTGCCGTTCCACGCCCAGAAGATGACCAAAAAATTGCTTCCTGACCCCAAAGTGGCAATAAGCATTTCCCTGGGCGTGTAAAAAAGGGCCACAAGAACTAAGCACTGAGGCAACCCTTCCTGCCCCTCCCTCTCATTATCTCCCCAAGTTCACAGAATCAGCACTGCTGTCAGATGGCCATCTAGCCTCTGCTTGAAAACCTCCAAAGAAGGAGAGCTCACTACCACCTCCCGAGGAAGCCTGTTCCACTGCGGAACTGCTCTGACTGTCAGGAAGTTCTCCCTAATGTTTAGCTGGAAACGCTTCTGATTTAATTTCAACCCATTGGTTCTGGTCCGACTTTCTGAGGCAACAGAAAACAACTTCCAAAGAAGCCATTTTCTCTAGGAGAAGTGGAACAAACATTTTAAATAAATATGTAAATAATGAATAAGCAACTTATGTAGTCTGGTGACCAGCAGTGCTCTCTCTAAGCCGTGGAGTCTTGTGAGCAAAAATTCGTCTTGGTGAGCTACTGGCATGAAAGTTGTGAGCGAGTGATTTGGCTGCTGCATTAATTAGTTTGCTCTGGAGCCCTCCTTCCTGAGCCAAGACAAAAATGTGTGAACCGGAGGCTAAAGAACTGTGAGGTTGCTCACACTAACTCAGCTTAGAGGGAACACTGGTGACCAGTTGTAATTCTGGAGATCTCCAGAGCCACACCCCCCCCCGGGAGATTGGCAGCTCGTCCCTAGAAGCTGCTATTTGTCCCAACAGGCAAACATAGGGACACTGGTAGCTGTATGTTAACCTCATTGGCACATAGAGGGGACATTTCAAGTCAGGAAAACAGCATGGAGGTGGTTAATAAGAACATAAGAACATAAGAGATGCCAATGTTGGATCAGGCCAAAGGCCCATCCAGTCCAACACTCTGTATCACACAGTGGCCAGAAATACCAGGTGCCATCAGGAGGTCCACCAGTGGGGCCAGGACATTCGAAGCCCTCCCACTGTTGACGCCCCCCAAGCACCAAGAAGACAGAGCATCACTTGCCCCGGAGTGCCTTGTGTGTCACCTTATGGTTCTGATCAGACGCCGGCCCCCTCCCCCACCTGATTCCAAAAAAACTCTGGGAGCTCTGTTCCTCGAATATCCAAAGTCCATGTATTTGAGGACTTAGGTCCAGGCTATTCTATCCAAAACGGAGAGGTTTGTAATCTGCAGGTACTGGCCTCTGGCAGCACAGGTAAAGAAACTCGGGGTTAGTTCAGGCTCGCCCCTTTGCTGACTACCTCCGGTCAGGTTACCGTGTGGCCCTAGAAAAGCATGCCCTCCGCCCCCCTCTGCATATCCGAGATTCCTGGGATGAAAAAAGAGACCCACTAAACAGCACCGGATTTTGCCAGTGATTCTTGACGCTCGGTGCGTTTCAGCTTTTGACTCGCTCCTTGAACATATAAACACATCGGAGGCTGAAGTGAATCAAGGGATTGTCTTCCTGGCAAACAGACCCGCCATTCAGACTCATGAAATTAAGGCTAGAAATGGTTCCCAGCGTGGCGCTCTCAGATGCTCTTGATACGGCCAGTCTTGCAACATGAGAGTGACAAGGCAAGTCTGGGCCTGTCTGGGCCTTAACAGCAGCAGGGTTCAGTGTGGTTCCCATGGTGCCCACCAGTATTTCCCTTGGCGCCCGCTAAGCTTTCCAGAAGGTGGGTGGAGCCAGGGGTCATTTCGTAGAAAAAGAGGTGCAGGAGCTCATTAGCACAATTCATTAGCATAACTTATTTGCATATGCCACACCCCCTGACATCACTGGAAGTGTGTCAGAAGGCAACGCCCACCGCTCAGGCTCCACTGGACTGTTTTGGATTGCTAGCTATTGGGGGGGGGGCGTGCAAATCTGTCCTTGCAGAGGAGGGAGAGCTTGTACCTGAATAAAACTTGGTCTTAAAGGTGCCACTGGGCTGTTTTGGGTCAGGGGAGGGGGCTCTGCAGCCTACCTGGCTGCTTCTTGCTCTGACTGAGGGCTCCTGGGAGCAGGGGGTGGGGCTTGTTGCATGTACCCGCCCCCTGGGCTCTTTACTGCCGGAGCTCCGCTCCTGTGCGCTCCTGCAGGAAATGACCCCTGGGTGGAGCTATTGTAAGGCAGGGCTTGTTACTTCAGGCTTTCGTTTCAAATGAACGGATTTTCCACTGGAATATGAGGGGGATGAGTCAGCCCCCGGGCTTTCCTGAGTCAGTGGGTGGTTCCATCCCCCTTCAGGCTTTTCTTCTCCCCAGGAGGTGTGAGGGGAGAGGTATTCCATTTGGCGCCGCCTCCCGTGGAAGCCATTTTTATGTTTGGCTCCACCTCCAGTGGAAGTTGTTTTTAGGGTCTTGCTCGCCCCCTCTTCTTAACATTCCAGATGTGCCCGCAGGCTGAAGAAAGGTTGGGGACCCCTACCCTGCATCCTTTCGGGGTCTAGCCCACCCCCTGTCAAACCAGAGATGTGCTGAGATTTTTGTTTTTAGTGCAACCCGCGACTTTTGAAACTTAATTCTCTGGAAAGTGGGACCCCCCAGCTGAGTGTGGGGCTCTGACGCACGGGAAGAGGACTCTGAAAAGCTGGAAGCTCCCTGTCCCACTGGGGAAACTTACATGTGCTGATGTGCCACAAGTAAGTGTCCCCATCGGGGCAAATCGTGGCTCCTGAGGCTCTTCCAGGTCAGGAGCGTGGTGAGGCGGAGAAGCTTAAGCCCCCTCTGCCTACCAGTTTGGGCCTGAACTGAACCGGGCCCCCACGGACCCTGAGAATTGTTGGACCATGGAACTCACGGAGCACGTCTGGTCTGACAGGACAGAAGGTGGGCCTGGGAAGAGTGTGACACACAGGCAGGCCCCACAGCTGTTCGTTTAAGGCGATGGATTTTGACAAATGTGTCTAACATCTGAGTACAGCACAGAAACAGACTGCAACAGGACTTTGCGTCATGTCCTGGCGTCTTCTTTTTCCTCAGTGTATGCTATGTGTGTATGCGTTAATAGTCCCGTCCAGCCTGAAGAAGACTTCTGGAGAACAAAAAAGCTTGCGCCCTGTTATGTGTCATTCGGTTGGGTCCTAATTAGTCTGATCTGGATGGCCCAGACTGGCCCGATCTCATCAGGTCTCAGCAGCGAAGCAGGACCAACCCTGGCTAGGATTTGGATAGGAGACCTCCATGGAATACCAGGATGTGGAGGCAGGCCATGGCCAACGTTCCCGCAGCTGTGGAGTCTTGTGAGCAAAAATTCTCCTTTGTGAGCTACTGGCATTAAAGTTGTGAGCGAGCAATTTGGCTACTGCATTAATTAGTTTGCTCTGGAGCTATCTTTCCTGAGCTGAGACAAAAAAGTGTGAGCCGGAGGCTAAAAAACTGTGAGCTAGCTCACACTAACTCAGCTTAGAGGGAACACTGACCATGGCAAACCACTCGTGTTTGTCTCTTGTCTTGAAATCCCCATGTGGAGTTGCCATAAATCAGCTGAGTCTTGATGGCACTTCTCACCACCACCACAAATTAAAAGGTATTTGGGGGGGGGGGTTGTGTTTTCTGGGTTTTTGGATTTTTCTTTTAGACCAATGTGGCTAATACCTTTCAGAGACGGTAGCAAATCTACTGCAACTGGAAGAAGAGGAGGAGGAGGAGGAAGAAGAAGAGGAGGAGGAGATTGCATTTATACCCTGCCCTTCACTACCCGAAGGAGTCTCAGAGCGGCTTACAAACTCCTTTCCCTTCCCCTCCCCACAACAGACACCCTGTTAGGTAGGTGGGGCTGAGAGAGCTCTCTTGAGAGCTGCTCGTGAGAGGGCAGCTCTGAGAGAACTTGTGACTGACCCAAGGTCACACCAGCAGCTGCATGTGGAGGAGTGGGGAATCAAACCTGGTTCTCCCAGATTAGATTCCACGCTCCAAACCACTACACCAAACTGATTTAACAGTGCAAGCTTAAGCAGATCTACTCACAATTCAACTGAGATCTACTTCGTGGGTCTTGCTCTCAAGAAGGGGTTGGCCTGTAGATACGTTTGTGTGCACATGTGAAAGTTTCTGAGAAAAATCCAGTGGAAAAGCTTGACTTACTCAGAGTGGTCCTTGTGATCTGCTTGAAGTGAGGAAGTCCATCAAACTCCATCTGGGATACTTTCTCTGTATCGAAACGACTTAGGACTCCTGCAGCAAAGCAATTAGGAAAGCACTGCTAAAGATCTATCTGAAAGTCTCTTCTTCTAAACCTCTCCCTAAGCTTACGCGCTCTGGAGTGCCAGGTTCTGTTTCTGAAGCGGAACCAATGCAAGAAGAATTCTCTAGTCTGGTTCCCCACGCCCCATCCCCAATTTTATACAGTCTCTGGATGTTTATGGTTTCTCCCATTCAAGAGCATTTTTCTAGCACGTGCACATCGGCAAAAACACTGCAGCGGGGCCATCTGATTGCACATGAACGGCCAGCTTTGAGCCCAGCAGCATCTTAGAGACGGATAAGATTTCTGGGATCTAAGCTTTTGAGGGTCAAACCTTCCCTTGTCAGGTGCTTCGACTCTCAAAGCTCGTACCCGCCAAATCTTGTTAGCGTGAGCGGTTTTTTCTTTTTAAGCAGGCTCTTATACTGGGATCTAAGTGTGTTTAATTGTTGGAGCTGGTGGGGCTCTTTACTTTGTCTCGTTAATCTCATTTGTTTTGATTATTAGTTTCTTAAAGTTTCTACATTCCGAGTCGTACCACCCATTTGTAGAACAGGGGTATTTGGGGGGGTCTATCATTGATAAGCAAGAGCTTTATATCTTGTACACTCTCTTCGTAGTGTTGAATAATATTCGCATCTGATCCTGATAGAATTTGTCTCCTGTCCTTAATATCAGCACTCTCCAAAGCAACCTCTACTGTTTTTTCTAACTGTTCTGACCACCTACGTCTCCTGTAGCCAGGGAATAAATGTAGAGTCAGTGGGGTCAGATGTAGAGGCCAAAAGAACACCACTCTTAACATTTAATACTAGCTTTAGGGGACAATGATCACTAGTTGGACTATCACTAACATCAAAATAGTCCACTTGGTCTAAAAGTGCAGGTGAAACAGCTAAATAATCTATTGTCAACTAGTGGATAGATAAGTTTTATCCACGGTCATTGACCAACACATAAAACAATGTCACTTTGTAACGGGGGTAAAAGATGTCACATTAAAATAGGAACAGAATTTTAAGACTGGTTATAAAAACACCATAAAAACCATAATGTTTAAAATTAATAAAACTTAATCTTAATTCTCCTCTTTTCGAGCAACTATAGATTTTCTCATTCTTAGGGCAAGCCATCCGAACCTAGCTACCCGATAAGTAACTTCTGCCCGGCTATTCGATAGCAAATTTCGTAAAAGGCAGATTCTTTGCCTGCGAGAGAGCGGGAGTGTCTTCTCAGCCTTTTGGTTAAGATCAAGTGTAAATAATCTACTGTGCTGTCATGTAATGAGGATAGGCATGTATAAGGACCTCCTGACTTATCAAAACTTGTCCCAAATCTTCTTGGTCTCCGAGGTGGTGCTGGACTTGAATCTACTGCAGACCAACGTGGATGCCTTCTGAAACCGATTGTACATACGGCTGTATCGGGATTCTTTAGTTGGGATCTTACCAATGCACAGGAACACATCTTTAGGTCAGTGAAACATCCCTTACATGAACACATGAAGCTGCCTTCTACTGAATCAGACTGTTGATCCATCAAGGTCAGGATTTTCTACTCAGACTGGCGGTGGCTCGCTCTGGGGGGCATTGCCCCTAAAGGCTCCCTCGTGGCTATGGGCCTGCTGGTGGAGGCCTTTCACATCACCTACTGCCTGGTCCTTTCAGCTGGAGATGCCAGGGATTACAACTGGGATCTATTGGGGGGGAGTGGTACTGTACCCGGTTGTTTCCTTCCTGCCCTCCGCATGCTGATCAGGCCTGATTGGGGGGATTCTATTCAGAGGATCCAATTTGTCCCAGTCACATAGATATTGGGAACAGGGCAAGTTGGGGCAATCCTGCTGGTCTCCCTGAGGACTGACTGCCTCTGGATTTGGGGGCAACTAATGGCTAGGCCAGACAGCATGGCCAAAGCGTATGTGTGAGCTTCAGGGCAACTCTGTTCAGAAATAACCAACGCTTACTATGGGAGGAGTTGAAACAACTCACCTTTCCTAATCGTCCACATGTGGATTTCTACCTGTGGCGGCTTCTCTGTCTTCACTGCTATCTTTCGGATGGTTTCTCCGTCCTCTGTGTAAAGGGCTTCGTAGACAGGAAGGGTCTCTTCACCGCAGAAATAATCTTTGTGGTCCAGGTTCTGATTTTCAGTTTCTTCTGTAAGAGAAGAAGGGCATGCGTCCAGAACGGGGTGTGTGTGTGTATGTGTGTGTCTCAGATCTGAAACTGCCCTATGCTGAAATGCAGGGCTATTTTTGGGCAGGAACGTACAGGAACGGAGTTCCGGCTGGCTCCTGAGTTGGCCACGCCCAGCAGGAACTCATTAGCATAATAGGTCACACCCAACAGCAGAAACTCATTAGGATTGGCTACAATTAGGGGTGTGTGGCCTAACATGCAAAGGAGTTCCTGCTACAAAAAAAGGCCCTGGGTTTTGACAACAAAGTAAACAGAATAAGAAGGGAATGGTGGGTGTGGCTGGATGACCACACTTCTGGTAACATGGGGGTGTGGCCTAATGTGCTAATGAGTTTCTGCTGTTGGGTGTGACCTATTATGCTAATGAGTTCCTGCTGGGCTTTTTCTACAAAAAGAGCCCTGCAATGAATATATATTCTGAGTCTGTCTACAAAGACATTCTGGTGGGAGCCATACTGGAGTGACTTTAAATACTGGAGACTGCATAGCTTAGGGTTAAATACTGGAGACTGCAAAGCTTAGGGTTGCCAACCTCCAGGTGGTGGCTGGAGACCTCCCAGTATTAGACTTTATCTCCAGGTGACAGAGATAAATTCACTTGGAGAAAGTGGCGGCTTTACAGGGTGGGCTCTATGGCAGTATACCCCGCTGAGGTCCCTCCCCTCCCCAAACGGTGCCCTCCACAGGTTCTGCCCCCCCAAATCTCCAGGAATTCCCCAACCCAGACCTGGCAACCTTACTCAGGCATCACCCCGAAGTTTCCAGGAATTTTCCAACCCGGAGTTGGCAACCCTCACATTGCTCTTGCTGCCAATCACTGCACAGTTCAGGCCAATATTTGCATCTGCAACTTTTTAATATTTCTGAGCAGCTCTAGAAGGTTGGATTAAGATTTGGCATTTAGAAAGACGGACATCATTAAATCTGGGCTGAAAAAGTAACATCAAACTCTCATAAAGAGGAAGAACATACTCCCCCTAATGTTCTCATGGCATCAAAAATTCATACCTTTTTTGAATCAATCAGTACTCACTTCATGGGGAAACCCCCTTAATCTATCTTTCAAGATGTTGTCGAAGACTTTCACGGCCAGAGTTCATTCGCTGTTGCAAATTTTTCCGGGTTGTTTGGCCATCCTCAGAGGCATAACACAGAAAGATGGAGGACTCTCTGTGACACACAGAGGATGCCAGTCACAGCTACTGGCAAAACGTCAGGTCCTACAATGGCAAGACCACGGCCATACAGCCCGGAAAATCTACAACAGCTATCTATCTTTCAAGAAACCGGCATTTCTGTTACCCCAAATGAAACAGCCTTCCTTCCTTCCAGTTATAGGTTTATGACTCATGAAATCAGCCAATGGACTCGGTATAGGAAGAAGAAGAAGAAGAGTCTCAGAGTGGCTTACAATCTCCTTTCCCTTCCCACAAGAGACATCCTGTGAGGTACATGGGGCTGAGAGAGCTCTTTAGAGGACTGCTCTTGACAGAACAGCTCTGAGAGAACTTGTGACTGACCCAAAGTCAGACCAGCAGCTGCATGTGGAGTAGTGGGGAATCAAACCCGGTTCTCCCAGATTAGAGTCCGCTCTCTTAACCACTACACCAAACTGTGGTGGGTTAGCGCATCAGACTAGGATCTGGGAGTCCCGGATTCAGTTTCCCTCTCAGCCATGAAGGCCACCAGCTGAGGTTGGGCCACTCACTTTCTTTTTCAGCCTAACCTACCCACAGGGTTGTTGTGAGGATAAACTGAGGAAAGGAGAACCCTGTTTGCTGCCGGGGTCCTTAGAGGAAGATCAGGATAAGAATGCAGGGCTATTTTGGGGCAGGAACGCACAGGAACGGAGTTCCGGCTGGCTCCCGAGTTGGCCACGCCAAGCAGGAACTCATTAGTATAATAGGCCACACCCAACAGCAGAAACTCATTAGGATTGGCTACATTAGGGGTGTGTGGCCTAACATGCAAAGGGGTTCCTGCTACAAAAGAAGCCCTGGGCTTTGACAGCAAACAAGGTCAACAGAATAAGAAGCAAAAGGTGGGTGTGGCTGGATGACCACACTTCTGGTAACATGGGGGTGCGGCCTAATGTGCTAATGAGCTGTGCTGTCAGGGGTGTGGCCTATTATGCTAATGAGTTTCTGCTCTTGGGTGTGGCCTATTATGCTAATGCGTTCCTGCTGGGCTTTTTCTACAAAAAGAGCCCTATAAGGATGGATAGACAGAATGATCCAGTAGGTCTTTGCTTCAGATGTCAGCGCTGCCAGATAGGGATGCCAACCTCTGGGTGGGGCATGGAGATCTCCTGGTATTACTGCAGACCTCCAGCCTCCAGGGATCAGTTTCCATGGGGGGAATGGCCGCTTTGGAGGGTGGGGTCTGGCATTATACCCTGCTGAGGCCCCTCCCCACCCTCCCCAGAATCCGCCCCCAACATCTCCAGGAATTTTCCAACCCAGAGCTGGGAGCCCCAAGCGAGACGCGATGCCTACCTGTGCAGACTTTACAGCACTTCCCTTCGATCTTCCTTGGCTGCTTGCAGGGATATCGATCTGGGCAACTGATTTTCTTGCACTCTGGCTTGGTCACGTTGCAAGTGCACAAGACGCATTCCACAATCCCGTAGGACCGGAGGTTCGGGTGCCAGGATTCCCCGTGGGAATAGGTTTTTCCATTCGAGACACACACTGTAACCAAAAGCGGGGGATCAATGATAAGCAAAAATATCATAGCAAAAAAAAGAAGAAGAAAGAAAGATGAAAACCCGATGGGTCCCGTGAGGAACACATTTGTGAAGCGGATGGATCCTGCTTCCCTCTTCAGCCTCCCGAGTCCCTTTCAAAGGTGTTCTTGAGGGCCACAGCCCTTGGGGTACTCATTGCCTGAAGAGAGCCAGTCTGGTGTAGTGGTTAAGTGTGTTGAGTGGACTGCAGTGTTCCCTCTAAGCTGAGTTAGTGTGAGCTAGCTCACAGTTTTTTAGCCTCCAGCTCACACTTTTTTGTCTTAGCTCAAGAAGGATGGCTTCAGAGCAAACTAATTTATGCAGCAGCCAAATCGCTCGCCCACAACTTTAATGCCAGTAGCTCACAAAGTAAAATTTTTGCTCACAAGACCCCACAGCTTAGAGGGAGCCCTGGTGGACTGTAATCTGGGAGAACCGGGTTTGATTCCCCACTCCTCCACTTGCAGCGGCTGGATGACCTTGGGCAAGCCATAGTTCTGTCAGAGCTGTTCTCTCAAGGACAGTTCTGGAAAGACCTCTCACCTGCCTCACAGGGTGTAGGTAGTGAAGGATGGGGTATCAATTCAATCTCCTCCTCCTCTTCTTCCCCACTCTGTTCCTGAGGGTTCCTTGACCATCAGAAGTAGCAATTCAGGCAGCCTGGGATGCAATGTTCCCTCTCATCATTGCAGAATGAATGCAAAGGGGAAGGGAGGAAGAGCAGCGCTGTAAATCCTGCCTCCTCCCCGGCATGTGTGCATTTCGCAGAACATGTAACGGAGTCTGTGTGAACACAGGTATTATGCATAGCGCTTTCTGTGTGATCGGGAGCTCCACTTCCCCCCAAAGTTCTAGATCATGCAGCAAGAATCCTACATATGTACACTTGTGCCTCTGCAGGCTCTGTGTTCTTATTTATGCTCTTTTTTGGCCCCGGTCACACAGGCCGGATATCGCGGGGGGGGGGGGGGG